GGTTATCCTCCATTTTCGGGTGACACATTGGGAGAGATTTTGTCTGCTGTGTGTGCTGTGACTATGAGTTTCCAGGAAGAGTATGGTTCTGAAGTTTCGAAGGAAGCGATGGACTTTATCTCGAATTTACTTGTACTTGAACCTTCACATAGGTTAACTGCCGAAGAGGCTTTAGAAAGTCCATGGCTTTGTGTTTGTCTTTTTTTGCTTTTTTTTCATGTTGATATTTAATAAAGTTTATATACTTATATTCAGGATGTTTCCATTGATTAAATGAACAATTTTTCATTTGTGTTTGTAAATATGTTTTTTGAGCATTCAAATCGATATGTAAAATAATCTTTTATATTCCAATAATTTACAAACCAATAATTTGGTTTGTATTATTTGTGAATTAAAATCAAATTTTTACAAACGTCTGTTATGTTTTATATTTTTATCCAACTTTTTCAAATAAATAACTAGTTTACTGTCTGTATGTTTGACTTTGATTGTTGTTTTTAAAACATAATATCATTATGTTAACATAAACTATATATAAAGTTGGATTGTTACCTTTTTCATTTTTATATTTAAAAAATAATAATTAAATAATTGAAAATATTATTCATATAAGTTTTTTTTTCATTTTCTTATTTATTAAATTAAACATTTGCAATTATTTATTGAAGTGAGTCAACCTCTCAGCCAATGTTACCGTACTTTCCTTGTAAGAACAGTGTTGACCAACATGAGGCAACTTTTCTACATTTTTAATCAATCAATTGCGCTTCATACACTGTTTTATTTACAAATGAGAGATTTGTTGATGGTACAATAAAAATCAAATAGAGTAAGCATAAAAAACGGTCTTTTTGTAAAGTAAATAATTTTAAAAAGATTCAATAACCATACAATTCCAGAGGATTGGTATTGTTATTTTTTGTTGTGTGGAAATTACTATTTTTATACATCAAATTAGTTATTGATGTGTATAAAATACAAGTTTAATTTACACATACAGTAGGAGGAAATATGGGGATGCTAGAGAAAGGAAAATGCTCGTAACTATTGGTTAATTTCAATTGAATAATAATAAAATTACTATTAATTTTAATATAAATTATTAATCAAAAAATTAATAAAATGAAAAAACCAAAATAAATTTATATTAATTATTTATTATTAATAATATTAAATTAATAAATATTTAAATCAGCATCCCCCTTTTTCCGTTAACTGTATTCATTTATTAACAGCAAGATATATTGGTTGATAAAAATAAATAACAAAGGCTTTACAAGAAAATAGAGATATCGAATATCAATCAATAAAAAGGATATAACAAACAACACAAAAACTGTTACAACATGTTAATAATAATTAATAATGATAATATTATATTTTATTAAATATATTAATAGTATAACAAAAATAGTAATTTACTAACTATCAATTAGTAAAATGAAATGAACAATAAAAAAAAACAATTGAATTGGCTTTGTTAAGCCAATTCGACGCCTTGTGTAAATAGCCTCCTAACCACTTCATCATTGATGCAAACTATTGTTGATGTTTGTGACATAGATAGTGATAAGAAGTAAGAGTTAAGGTTCTTTCCAATAGAAATCAGCTTATTCTTTTTAATGATAAATCCATTGAAATTGATTTCAGTGAGTCGTTCGAGTTGCATTGCCTTTCCACTCTTTCTCGCCATTTCCGTCGTCAAGTCGAACCCAAGTTGCTTTGCCAAGTCGACCAAGAAGTTCCCCAAAAAGACTTTTCTGTTCTTTTCGAACCTTCTTGTTGCAGTAGATTCCGAGACCCCTCTTTTGATTTCCATATCGAAAACAGCTTTACATTGCTTTTCCGTTGTTTCCATGACATTGACTTCGTCGTTCTCGTCAAAGATGAGTGAATTGAGTCTAGGAGTGGTGATGGAGACTTTGGAGTATTTAAGAGGCTTTTCTAATAGAATTCTTGCGCGTGAGTTAATCAAAGCAAGAAGAATTGCCATTTGGTAAGCCTCAAAGTCTTGATTGTCTTTCTTTGTTTTCAGGTATTTAGGAGCGTTCCATGGATGATTAGTCTTGCATGTGGAGTCAACTGATTGTGTTGTGGACTGGGCGTCGATTTCTTGGACGTTGAGGAAGTTAAGTGGGGTACAAGTCATTAAAGGGGTTGTGATTTATTTGTAGTTGAAACCCCCTTTAAATAGTTGAACGACCAAATTTCATTGCGAAAAGTGGTTTGAAAATAATTCGCCTCATGTTGCTACTTTTGGCGGTTTTTTTGCTTTGACTTTAAGATGGGAAATTTATTAGGTTTATTTCCCGTTTATTTTGTACAAGAGAAAGTAAAATAAAAAGATGGCAAGTTAAGAACAGCATAAAAAAAGCAAAGAAAAGTTCGTATAATGTCGAGAAGAGAAGAGGGAATTGCAATCTTTTTTCTTCGTAATTTTATCGAAAAAGTGGGAAAAGATTTGGAAAATCTGAGGGGTGGTGATCATTTTTCTAATTGGAACTAAATTTAGTGTTTATTTGAAAGGTGATTTGAATTTTAATGCAGCAACTTTTTAATTTGGATAACCAATACAAAGTTTTTTATAATTATTGGTTGAATTTACTTTAATTGCTATTTATCAGGTTTTATTGGTAACCGAAATATTAAAAAGTCGATTATGAATGAGATTTTTAATCGACAACATTTGGTGAAAAGTTAATATTAATTTGGTATAATAAAGTTTAAAATGCTTCATTAATTATTTTAATTAATAAATTTTAATATATGTTTAAAGTATTCTGGTTTTGAAATAAAATAAAAAAAAATTGAAACAAAATTAAAAAGAGCAAAAGAATTATCGCGTGTGGAAAGCTAAAAGTAGTCTAAATTTGTTGAAGTTTTATATTTAAGATTCACTTTTCTTGAATTAGTGAAAAATATTTGTTTTTTATATTTGTTTTTTTTACGTGATTATTTTTAATAATTGTTTTTTTTCAATATATGAAATCGGGATTATTTTAATTCATCGAAAAATGGTCAATTTTATGTTTTGTAAACATAATGTTTTAATTTTGAGATTGTTCAAATGGATTTTTCTGAATAATTTGTTTAAGATTATTTGGCGATTATGACTCATTTAATAGTTGTAAATAATCGGGCAGATATCATTCATTTTGGATTGTCATTATAACCAAATGTGAAAATATGTGAAGAAATTTCGAACGATATTTACCACAAATCATGGAATGCCGTTATTATTACAATCAAATTATTATACCAAAACTGCATTTGTTATTATTATTCATATAAACAATACGTTTCTTGAAACTAATTGACCATTTTTGGGACGATGTGGAAAGTTATGTTTTAATTATTGATTTGATTTAAAAAGTTGTTTTTAACCAAAAAACAATTTTTTTTAATTGTTTTAATAAAGTTAATAATATTAAACTATAAAAATAGTATATCATTTTGTAACCTATAAAAATTGTTGTTGTATATTTGTTTCTATTAATTTAATTATTAATTATAAAAAAGCTATTATTTATTATATGTTTTCATTGTATATTAAATTATTATTTTTATATTTAAACTTTAATAAAATATTAATTATAATTTTTATTTATAATAATAATTGATGTAACTATCATAAATAACTATAAAAATAACACAATAATTTTGATAGGTCAATAATAAAAAATTAAGAAATTAACTATTGTTAATATAGTTTAGATATTATTATTTGGTTCATATTTTTATTATACTTATATTAAAAAATTATAATTCATTGTTTTTTTTTATTTTAGAAAAAATTATTAGTTTTTTTTATACAAAAATAGATTTATAATAAATAATTAAAATAAATTTGGGGTACAAATTTTTTTGTTTTTTTAACAACCCAAAATTTTAATAGTAATTATAAGTATCAAATTGCATCAATAGTTTAAAAATATCCCCACAAAAACCAGAAAAATACCCATTAAAAACTTACTGATATTTCTTTTAAAAAAAATCCAATTGATGAACCCCATTTGTTGTTGAAATAAAAACATAGACAGATCTAAGAAAGCACAAAAATGGAGTTAATAAAGACACAATCTAGTAAAAATATAATAAATTATACAACAAAAAATAGTTCATGTTATTCAATCCATTTTACAAAAATAGCTATTTTTGAACAATAACATACCTCCCGAATGCACACGTATAAGAACTTCGAATATAATTACAATTTATATCTAAGAAAAATCCCGAATTTGCCACACCCATTTTGAAACTCAAAGTTAGCGAACTGATCTTAGAACTGCAACCTTCAATTTTTGAAAATAAAAAAAATGTTCCCGAGAATGCGGCCCAATAAGACTTATCACAAAAGAAAACGCAGCAAAAATTCATCTAAAAACGACTTTAAAAAAGCTGTGATTACGTCATTAATAGTATATAACACTGTCACTGGACTCTATTCTCATTCGTTGTGACATGTCTGCTAAAACTTGCTGTGTTTGCGGAAAGAGCGCTTACCCAATCGAAAGAACAACTGCTGGTGGAAAGGATTACCACATTGCTTGCTTCAAGTGCAAGACTTGTGGATTGAAGTTGAACACTTCCAACTTCTTGTATGATCATGACACTGATGCCGTCTACTGCAAGAACCACGTCCCAAAGAAGACTTTCACCCATGTCACCGATTCCATTGCTATGAAGGCTGCCTTGAACGCCCCGAAAAAAGAATGCGAGAACCTCGGAACCGTCCAAAAGGGACAAGGAAGTGGTAAACCACACGACGTAGTGTTCGGTGCTGGTGCTGAAGGTGCTGCTCCAGTCGAAGAGGCTGCTCCAGTTGAAGAAGCCGCAGTTGAAGAAGAAAAGAAAGAGGAAGAAGGATACTAAACAATTAACATTTTCATGATTCGGTTTCAATTATTTCTTTTAACTTCTACTTACTAATTTCTTTTACTATACTGTTTCTTTCTTCTTATTATTACTATTTTAAACTAATTATTATTAGTATATGTGTTTTAATTTAGTTGTAATTATACAAACTAAAACTAAATAAGTGATAAATAATGAAATTTTAGTTTAATTTATAATAAAATTTATTAGCATTTATTGGTGGTATTTAGAGTATTTGAATTTAACAAAAACTAATCGATATTCATTTCATTTAAAATATATTATCGAACTATTATCAAATAAAAATAGTAATTTAATAGTTTCATATTAAAAATAATAAAAATATAATAATAATAAATACCACATTTTTAAACAAGAATTATAAAATAATAAAATTTTAGTAAAATTAACTAATAATATAGAACCTATTAAAAATCAAGAGTAGAACTAATAAAATATAGTATTATGTTATTATTTGTGTTGCTTGTGTGTGTGAGTGCAAAACAACCGACAATCGACGAGTATTTAGGGCGCAAGAACAGCACCACGTGTGTATTTACAAAGGATATATGTGACAAGTGTATCAATACAATTGCAACTCAAAAGGATTATTGTGACGCACCAACGGATGCCGAGCAAAAGTGTATTTGCTCAACGTTTCGAGGGCAGTGGCGAATCTTCTTTGAGGACGTAGAAGACACCATCCGATCACAATCAAACGCGTGTTCGTTCATTTGCACGAACGGGACGGTGCCCTTTGGAGCGAATGAAACCACCGTCGCCGCGACAAAAAAGATGTCGTTCAACGGCGCAATGACAAATACGTTGGTTGGGGTGCTTGCGCTTCTCATTGCCTTGTTGTAATCCACTCTTCCAGTTCCCGTGTTAGTCGTTCTTCTAGTTTTTTTTAACTATACTTTGCAATACGAATATGTCACGTATTATTTTATTAATTATTTCTAAATTAATAAGTGACAACCAGTTGGTAGTTTTATGATACGTCAATTTTTCTTCATAACAAAAAGTACTGTTATGACTCGTTTTGGAGTAACAGAACTATATGTATATTATACTATTACTATTATATATAGTACATTGTTTTATTAGTTCACAAACTGGTAATTATTATTATTATTAGTGTAATGTAATACCACCACAATAATAGTAATAATTTCAATATGAAAAGTAATGAAAGAATTTGACAATTCAAAAGAAAAAAAGTGAGTTTTTACATGGTGGAGGTTTCGAAAAATTGTGTTTGTGTTGTGAGGAGCAAATCTGAGACAATTGGTTGACACTTAGTCACCTGTTGCAATTCAATCACTTTGTCTTCTACTTCACTTTCTTTCATATTTCCATTGATTGCTGAAATAAGAAGATCACTGAGTCGCATCTTGTGAGTTTCCATGGTTTGGGGTTCAAAAGTTCAATTATGAAAACTGTCAAGAAAAAAAAGAAGGAACTCTAATATAAAAAAATCATGAACGACTGGGTCAAGCCCGCCCACCGTCTCTGCGTCGAAAAGTACTCGAAAAACAATTTCCAACTCATCGACCAACTCTCCGCACACGCAAAACAAATAGCACAGGCGTTCGACGTCCTCATTCCACTCTATCAAAGTTTTCACACAAAACTCGAAAAGCTCCGAATAACTGCCCCAAAGTCACAGTCACCCACTTCTGTTTATAGAGAGCTTTGCGCCGTCTCCGACACCGATAATGACTTGGTAGAGTTATTCAAAGTTATGGTTTGTACTTGAAATGCTAGTTACTATCAAAGTACTATATTATATTATTTACTATTAAATTCACCAGAAGGAGACGTCAATGAATACACTCTCCGACGCACTGAAACCAACAAACACGTGGGGCGAGACGTACTCGTCCTTTGAAGATTACGCAAACCAACAGAAACACATGATTTCGAATATTGTGACTTTCACATCTTTCTCTGGGTATATGAACTCCTTGAAAAAGGCCACCGTGCAAATGAAAAACTTTGCGGACCACTTGGGCGAGGAGAATTTGCAACAACTTGAGACGGCGTCAAAGTCCGTTGTGGAAGAACGAGCGTCGTTGTTACGAGTCGACCAAAAAACAACCGACAATGAAAATGAAGGGGTCCCTCACAACTTCCAAAGAGCTATGTATGCCCTCTATTTCACTCCAAGATCATTGGAAGGTGTATTTAGACAGTGCGCTGATACAACTGTATTGAACGACTGCAGTAATTTGATTGGGGTGTTGGATATTCAAACAATCGATAACGTTTGTCTGTCGGGCGTCATAAGAAAGTTCCTAAGAGACGCAGACGCACCTGTTTGGCCGTCTTCTTTGTTGCAGAATCTCTTGACCATCACTAGTTTGTTGCTTGTAATGTGCATTTTGAATAATATTACTATAGAACTATATAGTATAGTTTTTTAACTATAAAAAATTATAATCACTCACATACAGAAAAGTATGAGAAAGACCAAGACATGTGGGTCGATAACGTCCAACAACTCACCTGCCGTTTTCCAAAGAGAAACAGTGAAATTCTAAAACATGTTTTAGCGTTATGTGGGAAGATCATATCGAATCCGGAATCCAAAATGGACGGCTACAACATTTCGGTGTGTCTAGGACTATCTGTGTTGGTATCAAAAACCGATTTACAAGCTGCCCTTGAAGCTCCATTAATCATAAAAACTTTTGAGTTATTCATCCAGAACAGAACTCGGATTTTTACTGTTTGCTTTCTACTTATTCTATTTATACATTATAATAAGTATTATATTATTATATTATTATATTATTATTATATAAAAGTAACATTATAGGATATCGAAGACTGCTTTAAACGACGCCTCTCTGACGTTTTCACCCCACCGATTTATCACGACATCTTCTATAATAAAAGGGAAAGTATTTACTTTAAACGCCACAATCCTAGAACTAGCGATGGAGGGAAACTTCGATTCAACATAGGGAACAAAACCAAATCTGTTTCATTGTCCAATTAACATTTTTGTATAGTTTTTCATAAAGAATTTTATAATTGGAGTGGTATAATCAAAAGATATACTCAATCAATTAGTTAATGAAGAAATAACAAAAGCTGAATGTTCTGATGTAGAAGCTGGCTCGACGATTTGTGTGAGCTTTGTTTCTAAGGCTTCAGCGACGTCGATATTGACATGAATGTATAAGACACTCAACCCTTCGAAGTTTTTGATGACGACATTACAGGCGTCTGGAGCTTCTTTGTTAGCCAAATCTTTGATTTGTTCGATGAAGGGTGAACGATCGCCCTCTACACAGACGACAATGACTTTTTGGTCTTGTGGTCAGGAGTTGTAAAACATCAGAATAAGACGAACAAACCGACTTTCTTGATCAATTGTTTCTCATCTTTTCCTTTGGGAAGAAGAACTCGTGATCGAATGATAAATGGCTGAGAAGAAACGGAAACGTTCTGAGAGAATTCAATCGACAAATAGAGCTGATCCTTATGGTGATTTCGTGAAGAAGAACAATTCGATCGGCACCGGTCGAAAGTGAAGATCTGGCGACCGTTAATCATTTTACCTTCTAAAAACTTTTGGTTGGATGATACACCAATTTCTATCACTTTACGACCTTTGGAACAACTCGGACACTCTTTCACTTCATCAGTCGTTCGAACCTTTAAAACTTTTGTTCGAAGACCAGCATATAAGATGTCCTCAGGACGGATCGAGTTTTTTGAAAGCCAAAGGGGGGACGCAGAAAACTCCACAGTGAATGGGACGTGTCGAAATATTGTTTGTGATGAAATTTTCAAAATCGCGTTTGAGTCGGGGAGCGGAAGACTTTGTTCAGGTAATGACATCGTATTTCGCATTTCTAGTTTGTTGTTATTAATTTTATGGTTGGTAACTAATTGGCATTTTTACTATTATGAATACCATTTATTATTTTTATTGTAATGAATTGTATTATAGTGTATTATATTTTATTAATAATTTATTAATATATTTTGAAAAAAAAGCAATCAATTGTTACCAAAAAAACAGCTTTTGCAGGCTAATGAAAAAAATGAATTTGAGTTATTTAAAAAAATTAATAAGTCAAAAACTTATTAATAAAATATATAGTTTGATTATTATTTTAATTTTGATTGTTTATTATTAATATTATAACTATAATTATAACTAAATGTATTTTCTTTGAATTAACAGCAAGACGAAGTTGTATGCAGAACGGAATTGTGTTTTTCAAGTGTCGACACATCAACATGAGAGAGCAGTTCGTCGAACGCCATTTTCACACCTATATCTTAATAACACTTCTTTCATGGCATATTAAATGTTATATAATATAGTTATTTTAATTATAAATTAAAGTTTAATGTAAATCATTTTAATAACAAACTCTCGCCTTCTTTTGAAGTCACCTCCATAAAAAGACACTCCAGTTTTTGTGAAAGTTTTACTCCTTCGTCGACACTTACCTCTCTCTTATCTTCCAAGTCCGTTTTCGTCCCAACAATCATTACAACTGGTTTGTTAATATCCAAATTTATTTTTTATTATTATTTTAAATTGTATTTATATAATAGTACAGTATATTTTATGTATTAAATATTCTAATAAAATTATTAGTATCAACAAACCAGTCTTATTTACATCTTCAATATTATCTTTAAGTAAATTATACCACTCTTCTACTGAACAAAACGACTCTTTGGATGTAATGTCGTAAACAATCATACATGACTTAGCTCCTCGGTAATACATAGATATCATACTTCTAAATCTTTCAGAACCGGCAGTGTCCTGTTTATTAAAAATGTTATTAAAAATGTTATTAAAATGTCATTGAAATGTTATTAAAATGGTATTAAAATAGTATTGTAATGTTATTGAAATGTTTAAGATATTAAACATTACAAACCCAAATATTCAGTTCAACATCGACTTTTGCGATTTGCACTCTTTTAGTGCAAAAGTCTGCGCAGAGTGTAGGTGGAGAGTTTGGAAGGAATTGGTTAAGTGCATACCTTTGAGCGATACATGTTTTTCCGACGCCAAGATTGCCCAAGAGGACGTGCTTAAGTGTGGACATTAACTGTGAAAAGGAGTTTCTTTGCATAGAAAAACCAAACTATAACTCAACATTCATTACCATCTCTTTAGGGGCCTCTACATCATTCTTCGAGTTCACCTTCTTGTATTTATTATACTCACATTGTTTGATGATCATGATAAATGTCCCATACACAAAAAAGAGGCACCCAAAAATCAAAACGATGATGACAACTGGAATCCAAGAGAACCCACATTTCCCAAACGTCTTCCGATTTGCGATGGTGCAATTATTCGAGTCCGGGGCTGCACAAAATGACTTAAACGACTTCTCACACCACACCTTGAAGTCAATGTCGAAACTATTAAAGTATAGTAAATATATGATAATGTATAGTATAGGTATGTTGATGGTCAAGAGAAGAGTAAAACACAAACACACCCACGCGCAATTGGCCGAAAACTGTCGCCAGGCATTTCTGTGCATGAGTTGCAAAGTGTGAATACCTCACAAGAATTGTCGTCCGCGAAACTAGCAAAGTTAAAGAGAAGGAGAATGAGTAAGTGTTCTTTCATGTGCTTTTTGAGTTTTGGAGTTAGATGTATAGTTTTGATACTATACAAATGTTAATTATGAAAAGAAAAGACAAATGCTATAATTATAGTTTTTTTTTGTTGGCAAGCACAATGTTGAGTTAATGAGTTTAAGTACTAGATTGTTAATAGTGTTGTTTGTGTTTGTGAAGTCAATCTAAATGTAATGGAAAATCAAACTGTAACAAAATAATTGAATTTTATATAATTTAATAATATGTAATAAATTAATGCGACATTAAGAATTATACTATTAAGTTGATATTATATTGTTAAAATGAGAACCTTGAGATAATAACACAAAAGAAATGAGAAATATGATTTAATGTTGATAAATAATTTGTGAGTATATTTTGTTATGGTATTGAATGATTTAGACTTAATAATAAAATAAATCATATATTTATTATTAAGTTTATTAACAACTTTACCACAGATCTTTCAACTAAATTAGTTAAAATTTTTCTTATACCATTTTCATCGAAATTTTTAAAAAATTTTTCCAAATTGAAAAATTAAAAAAAATTTGAGTATTGACGTGGCAACATGTTTGGGGTATAAAACCCGACATTTTATGCAATAACAATGGAATCTGATCAAAACTCACATTCGATTTTATTTTAAAATGAAATTGACCCATAGAATTTCTAATAAACAATGGAATAAAGTGTGTTCAAAGTCTCTAATAAAACGGGACACTTCTTCCAATCTACTTCTTCTATTTGAAGTAATTTGATATGTATTTTTGAAACTGCAAATATCAAATGCGTAAATCCTTTGCAACGAAGCCTGAGATGAAGGCGGAAGGTGCCTCCTTTTCCATCGACGACTTCAAAACCGTATATTCAAAGTACACGACTGGGTTTGCGGACTTTGTTGAACACCCAGAGTTTGTTTTCAATCTACTTAAAATTATATTTATATCATAAACGAACGTTCTTCACAGGTAGAGTCGCTGTTGTTATTGGAGAAAACTTGATGAACTATGAGCAAGACCAATTTGTTGAACTTGCCTCGGAGTTTTACACGACAAACAACAAGATAATACCACTTCTGAAGTTATTGATATCGACGGAGGTAGAGAAGTGTCAGCACAAAGAAGTCGTATTCCGACAAAACAATTTGTGTTCCAAATTTTTGATGACCTTTTCGCGGAGTGTAGCGCGTAAGTTCTTTAAAGACACGTTCAGTGGCTATATCCAAAAAGTAGTCACAACACCGCAGTGTTACGAAATAGATGAGACGTTTGTTCTTTCTAGTGAATACCAATGAAGTGAAGTAACACACAGGCGATTAGTCCCTGGGCAGATATTAGGGAGTAACTTAGCTCAGTTGGTTCTATCGATTAAAGAGTACGCCGACATCTTAACCAAAACCAAAACACTTCTTCCATATGAAATCGTCGAAGTCTCAAAGATCATGTACAACGCAGTGTTAACCAAGTTCCAAGGCGATGAGGAGTTCTCTATGAAGACAGTCACGACGTTTTTGATCAATCAAATCTTCACAAGAGTCGTGAGCCGCCCAGAAGAGTCTGACATCTATGCTGTCGAGACCAAATTGGGTCTCAAAAGTACAAGAAATTTAGAAATGGTGTCTGGTGGTGTTCGAGTGATCTGTGCGCACGAAGTTGGCAATGAGCCAAAGTGCTTAGATAAAGTGTTAGCGTCTTCTAAAGGCTTAGATGCCGTCTTTTACGCCTTTTCAAAGTACGTTGTCTTGGAGGCGCCCACTCCAACACAAAGCAACACAACCTTCCAAATCTCTCGTGTGACTTTCGACGACCTTTTCATTCTTCATAATAAAATCCACTCGACGGCAACAACAGTTTCTGATGGGAAAATCAGTTGCAGCGACGAGTCGAAGATCCTTATCAAAAAGTTAGACGACACGTTAGGAAAGCCCCCATCGACTACACCTATCGATGGGTCTAATGATCGTGTTATGAGTGATTTTGAAATAGTAAGGAAATTGGAGAGAGAGCGGATCTTATATCGTGGGGGAGAATTAAGCACGGGAGAGAAGGTCTATTACATCACCATTTCTTTGTTAGTCAAATTACTGAAATTGGCCAAAGAGAGTAACCCGGACGATCCAATGACACTTATCGACTTGTTAACTTCTGTTTTAATGAATATGTCGAAGGCGTTTGTATTTGTCTTTGACTGTAGTTGGTTCAATGGAAACGACTTGCCACAGAATGAGTTGATCACTATGTGCTCCTCATTGGTACAACTTCCTCAAAACATTAAAACCAATTTCAAGCATGGATACATCTTACACCCCGAGAAGAACGTGAAGAAGACGATAGAAAGTATGATATCAAACTATGGCGCATTCTCGTTGAGTAACGGATGGAACAAGAATTTTGATATCGTCGACGACTGGCAGACGTTAAGCAAACTCTTTGGGGAGACTGAAGTGGTGATTCCTGAAGGATCGAAGTTGTTTGTTAAAAGAGAGTTCCACGCACTGAAAGTGAATCCAAAAGGAAAAGCACAGAACAGAATCATTCTGATGACGTTCAACGCACTTTTGAATATCGAACCGTCGTCGCATGACATAATGAATGAGATAGAATTAAAAGGAATAAAGTCGGTCGAGTTATTTACTGGGTCGCCACACGTCGTCATCCATTTTGAAGCAGTCACGGGGAGAGAACGAAAGAAGAAAGAAGACAAGACAGAGAGAACATATATTTTGCTTGATATGGCTGCACGTGAAACATTACTTAAACTTCTCTTCTCAGTGTGTTTCTATAGAGAAGTTCTCAATGGAAAGAAATTGGAGTTTGACGTTTTCAATGGAACTAAAAAATCGAATAGCAGAATTGTAGTATGTGTTGATAGAGTCGTCGTTATCAAGAAGAACGAACTGGAACACGACATCGTCTATGTCTCACTGAAAAGCGTCACAATCACTGATGGTAAAACGGACGACTTCAAGACAGTCAGTTTCTTGTTTGAGACTCTTAAAAATGGAGGTATCGAGTGGGTTGAGAAGAAGTTTGGGATCATGAAGGAAGACGTCTGCCTTGTTGATATTGTGAATTCGTTGAGAATCGGCAAATTTTAACAATTTTTTTTTTGAGTGTGATTTTCGACTCTTTCAATTTTCTGTGTATAATTGAAACAATCAAAAAATTGATTTTATCGATTTTCAAATATTTAATTGAGATAATCAAAAATTGACTTTATCGATTTTTTGATTTGACCACAAAAATAAGTCATAAAGAAATTTCGAAAAAAGACTCGAAATAAAAAGAAAAGAGGAAACTGGGAATCAAAAAGGAATTTAAAAATTCAATAGAAGATGTGGTCAATGAATTGGGAACAACAGCGAGTCCTCTCATACTGTATATTTGTCGAGTCTTTAACTCTTTTAGTTGGTCTTATTGCATATTTAGTACACACTGTTTTGGTCCAATACTTCTATCGCTGCAAAAAGTCACCAAATTTTGATAAAGTTTGGCGACCCCCACTATTCACCCCTCGAAGGATTTGCCATATTGGGGTTTTGGCGTACATTGCCGTCCAAATCAATTTTCTAGTATGGTTGTCGATATACATAGGCGAACTCGACACAGGACGAATTGAAAACCAAGACTTGGTCTTCAGTTATTACGAGTACTCGAATTTGTTTGACATCTCCGTTTACCTCTTGTTGTTTATCTTGGTCTTAGCAGCATTGTTTGTTACTTCATATTCATTTGATTCAACAAGTTGTGTTATACAATTGATATATCTAATCAGGGAAAGGTATTGATACCACAGGAAAATCCAATTAAATGGGATGGATGAAACAAATGATAGCAAGTTAATGCATATCTTTGATATTGTGTGGACCATCACCGTCGCAATTTTAATACTCAACATCATGACACATATCTCGTCAATGGTATATTTCTCAGTTATGCCTCCGAGCTTAAAAAGTAACATGACAGAGAGTTTCAGTTTCATTTACACATTCACAACAAACACTTTTGCTTTCACACAACTCTGTTTGTTACTTTTCTGTCTTGCTCTTACTCTTGTCTTCATGAAAAAGGTCTTTAACACATTAACAAATAAACAGGCGCGTGAAATCAAAATCAGGTCGTTAGTGTGTGGGTGGTTGTTGTTCACCATCAACACCGTGAGAATGTTTTTCTGCTTGGAAAACATTGTCTACTATAGTATTGCACACTTCAATGAGGAAAACACAGACAGTGGATTTTATTTGAAATTCACAGATGTCCTATTCATTCTCTTCCTCAAATTTTTGCCATGTTTCTTGATTATCGGAATGATGAACAAGCCGACACTTGGGTGTTAATTTGTGTTCATTCAAATTGTTCATTAACAATTTACTGGCTTCCATCCGAGTCTTTAATATGTTTTATTTTCCGATATATTTTATTATTAGACAAGTAAGTCGTAAAACATTTTCTTCATAATAAAAATTAAATTAAATAGTTTAATATTGTTTTTGTTATAACTTCACTTTAATAAATAATATAAAATAAATAAATAAATTGAAACTATTGTAAATATAACTTTGGGGGTTAAATAACTCTTGCGTATAACAATAAATTAAACATTAGACTCTTTCACTGTCCGATTACCTTTACAATGATATTGCAAAAGACAGTTGTCGTGAATTTCAGTACAATTGGTGGTGTCCTTTTTCTGAAGAAGACAACCAGCTTTCAGTCTCGAACAATTGACAACAACTCCGTATGTGCAGTTTCTTTTGGCTAAAGCGAAGAAGGACATTAAAGCAATAAGAATAAAAAACATAGGCATGGGATGAACACAATTAATGATAATCACATTTTTATATTCCGGGCTGGCTTTTGTTATCACGGTCTGTCATCGTTTCGTATTTAGTTTTTTGATCACTTTTTTAAAATAGAGAAAATAATTAACGTTTTTTTATTTGTGAAAACTATTTTTGCAAATGTATTTTGAATTATTTTTTTGTTTTTTAAATAGCTTATAGAGTTTATTTTTGATCTATTATATATGGTTTAACATTTCGGTGAATATTTGCGACAAAATAAGTTGAACAATAGAGTTGACAGTTCTTGTTAAACAGCATATTACAAAACGTGAAGTTGTTATTGAAGATCAATATAATATTCTGAATACAAATTATGATTATTTTTGAACGATTATGATTTGCAAATAATTAAAACCCTAGTATTTCTTTTCATTTAAAATATATGACATTTTATAAAATAATAATGTTGAACATTAGTTTAATTTGTCTAATGATTAAAAAGCGGCGTTCGTCTGTTTAATTTGTTCTGATTGAGTACAATGGATGATGAATTAAAAGCACCTTTTTAAATCACTTTTTTTTTAAAAATGTTTTTTAAATGTCATTAAAAAAACAAATTTTAAACATTTTATTTATATTATTAGTATTTTTATATATAAAATGATATTTTGAAACTAATAATATAATATAGTATTACAAATGATTAAAATAGTATTGTTAAAAAAATAAAACACCGACATTTAATGACGGTTCTTTTAAAAAAACAAAAATTATCTATATTTTTTAAAACTTTTTAAGTTTCATGATTTTGTTTTTCGATAAAAAATTATTTGTTGCGATAAAACCAAACTATGAATTTAGCATTAAAAACAATTTTAGAGAGCATCTTAGAAAACATAAGAAAACAATTAACAAAAAATAAACAACCATTCAAATAACAGGGGATTCCAAACATCTAAGTTTTATTTCAAACCAGTTTTCATATTTTCAAATAAATTTTTGCGTATTAAATATTTAACAAACCAAATCGTTTTACTCCATTTACTACAAACAAATTGAAATAGAAAGAATTATCATTATTTAAAAGTAACTTGTATTTTTAAAAGCTTATTTTTATTTCAACAATTATTCAAAATAATGTTGTTATTTATAATAAATTCAATAATAAAAAATAATGTTTTGAATCAAAACAAACAATTAAACAATTCTATGATTGCCCACAACTGCGATTTTGCTTTTTGAACATGTTTTTATAAATATTCATTTGTAATTACCCAATTTGTTTTATAAATTTAAACACAAATACGCCATTATCATTGTCGATTGTAACACACACTATAGTTTTTTGTTTATTTTCGAGCTCTGTTTGGTTAATTGTTTAAAGTTACATGAATTGATTACAAAAAGAATAAGTTCTGGTTATTTCCAGAATTATTATGCCGGCTTCTTATTGTGAACATGTTTACAAAAAATGGTTCAAAAAATACAATTGCGAAATAATTGTCATTACCGTTTTGTTTATAAAATGATTGTTATGTGTATACAAAAGCGATTATTCCAATGTTTTGGAAAAGACCACACTTTAATTTCTAAATCTGAGAAAAAATATTTGAAAAATTAAAATACTTAAATTAAAATTTTTTTATTTTTTGAAAATTACCAAATTTAATTAAATTTATAATATTTGAAACTTTTTTCAGTTTTTTAACATTAAACTTGTAAAGTATGGATAAGTTTGTCGAGATCATATTATTTATCAATTAAACCATTATGTA